CACACACACACACACACACACACACACACACACACACACACACACACCAGTTCCTGGGGTCCCTCCTGCCGCTGCTACTGCTGAGCGCCAGGTGGTGGCGGCAGGTAGGGTCCGCGTCGCGCCCTTGTGGACAGAGGCCTGTGGCTGGTTACTCATCCTGGTAAACCAAAGGCATTACGGTGATCTCAGAATATTTTTGGTCTCTCTACAAATTATCGTTATATGGCAGCACTTTTCTAAGCTGGAATCTCAAACCAAAGGCACTTCCATGCTAGAGCGCAGAAGATTCATAAATAGCTAAGTATTTGGTCGTGAATTGAAAAGGCAACTTTAAAAGTACAATTTGCTTTTCATAGTAAACTACGAAGTTGGAAAACCTTCCGTTTTGGTATATACATTTGAGAGTGCGGTCAAAGAACCGACTCGTGTTCAGTTTCCGATTTTAGACCAAGCGGTCAGTGTCCTATAGAACTGGAGCAAAAAATGGGCTTACAGAAGAGAAATGAGAACAATTTTTGCCTGTGCGGTTTCAAATACGGGGCCAATTAGTAAATGGACGCGGAGGGCTAGGTATGACTAGGTAATCACTAAGGCACTGCTTATTGGAATGCTTTGGCAGCTCTGAATTTAAAACTCCCTAAAAAAGTAACAGTAGTAAGAGAAATGCTTCCAGCTTACAAAAGGGCTCACAGTTCCGAGGCAGCCTTTTGCACTGCACACCCTACACGCAACGTCTCAAAGATTTAAGGCTTTTCAGAAATGACAGGTGCAGGGCTTTGCCACAGAAACATCAACAGAAAGAAAGAAGCGATGCAGACATATGCTCTCAATGTCACAGGTGTGAACGCCAACACACAGAATTGGTTCCACCCTTCGTGAGGACAGGTGTAGGGTACCAGAGCATATACAAACTGAGACAAATCATGTGTACCTGGTTTGTAAGACTGACTGTCATCTCAGATGATTTAAATAATTTACGGTTGTACAAAAACAGACTGCTAAAGCCACTACAGTATCGAGACCTAAAGAAGACTTGGGTTGAAGTCATCTGGGGACTTCTCACACCAAGTGCTGGGAACGGGGACTGCTTTTTGGCTGGTCTGAGTGTGGGACATGGCGGCTGGGTTGCCTAGCAGATAAAAATTAGACTCGGAGTCTGTGGCAGGTGCATTGTCCTCAGGGTAAGCAAAAAGGCTCATCAGCTTTTGTATCTGCTTGCGGCTGCCTCACGTAGCTCCAATCAGGCCAGAGGCTCCGTGGGGGAAGCGGCGTCAGCATCGGGGCAATGCCGTGCTCTGGCTGAGGGGGGTTCTTAGCGGCCCCCTCTCTTCTGCACTGAACCTGTGCACACCTTCGTAGGGATCTTTGAGGCATGAGCACCAAAGAGGAACAACTTCCACTGGGAGAGGCCAAGGATTAAGTGGCAAGGTCCCGGAGCCTCACGCTGGTTGTGTCGCCAACCAGCTGGGTGACTCTGGGCAAGTCACCTCCCCTCTGGGCCTCAACTTCCCCATCCGCTAAATGAAGGAGAGTAGTTTGTGCTCTCTTTTAGCTCAATAAAGAAAAATCTATCAGCCCGCTGCCAGATCTGGTCCCTCTCACCTCCATCCTTAAAGATGCAGTGTTCCAAAGGCTTCCATAAATTCTAAAAACAGCACTGAGTGTAGGGCAGAAAGCAGAAGACCAGAGTAAGTTTACCGAAATGATGAAAGCTTTGATCGTGAGACCCAGATGCTTATGAGAATCATACCATAGCTGGGACTTCTTTTAAAGCTGGTAAACTAAGGAATGAAGATCAAATCACAGAAACACCTTAACATGATTATGGGGATGATGGTGACCAGCTCCTCCCCACATCCCTGGGGATGAATGAAGGAATCCTCTGTAGCCAGACAGACTCTGCCGTGAAAGAAGTTCTGAAGGGGAGGAGACCGGGATGTAATGTCATTTGAGGAACATTCCTACCTGCCTCTTCAAGACCTGAAACAAGGCTCCCAGGACAGCAGCTTTCTTGGAGCGAAACAGAAGGGAAAAAGAAAATCTCAAATATGGTATTTGTGACCTGTAAGATCTAGGGCAGTGGTTCTCAACTGGGGGTGATCCTGGGCTCCATGGGACATGTGGCAATGTCTGGAGATAGTCTGGGTTGTGGCACCAGCAGGGAGGGCGTGGGGGAGGCCATGGGGACACTGCACAGGATCGTCCCACAGAACAAAGAACTGCTCCCAACTTGTCAACAGTGTCGAGGCTGAGAACCCCTGACTTAGAGTAGCACAGACCTTCTGGGGTTCCAGAACCTGTTCTGAAGAAGTCCTGATAGTAATTTTAGGTCTCTTGCTAAGATGGAAACGAATGCCTACCGACCAGAGTCCAGTTCTTCAGCTCCCTCCTGTGTCGGCTATGGAAGGTGGGCCTCCACACTCCCCAGTAACAGTACGAGACGCCCCTGACTCAAGGCTGGTAACGCAGGGTTGCCAGGAGATCCGGCACCCAAAAGAAAGCTGTAGAAGCTGCAAGGACAGAGGCCTAGAAAGGCTTCTTTATGGTTTGGGGAAGCTTGACAGCTGAAGGGAGAAAACTGCGACAAAGGAGGAAAGACCACAGACAGACTTGGATTAGGTGCCGCGACAGGAACCCCAGCCCCTGCACCTAACTTGGCAGAGACAGAGAGAGGGCCAAGGGTTCGGGTAACTGGATCAGTGGTTAAGACAGGGAAAACATCCGCCCTGGAGAAAGTTTTAGAAGAACAACACGAGAAGTAAAATTTTTAAGGCTCTTAGAAATGTTTTTAAGAGCAAAACGCTATCCTCCAGGTTGTTCACGTAAATGCCCCAAACTCAGCTCCGGAGGTATTTGGGGGAGGAGGGCACAGCCTGCCTCTGTGGGCTCAGCAGCCCAGGGTATCCCCTTCCCTGTAGCCAACAGAACCAACCCTCCAGCTGCTCTTCTTGGGTCTGTTTGTGCTTTGAAAAGTAAATCCCAAGAGTCCTCCTGGCAGACAGAAGAGCCCCATTCCTGTGTGGGAATGTGAACCAGATACTTCTCCCGCTGAAGTTCTGGGCTGGCTCCGGCCATAGAAGATCCTTTACCCCCCTTCACAGGGTCCTGGCCCTGGGAGAGTGAGGTTCCCGTTGAGGAAAGATGAGGGAGACAGGAGTGAAAGAAACATCCCTAGGAGGGGTGCCCAGAAGAAGCCATTGAGCATGACGACCACGGAAGAAGCTTCAATGCCCGGGCGGAAGGCCAGATGGAAGGGCAGACAATGAGGGCAATCCTTCAAAGGCCCCCTTAGAATCAGAGAATAAATGTTAGTTTCTTTACAGAGGGAAGACAGACATCAGCCTACTGGTTTACATGAGGGGTGTGCGTTCCAAGTGGGAGAAGTTTTGTACTCTCTCCTCTGGTCTTTCCAGGAACCAGTGGCATGAGTTTGGGAGAGGTCAGGCTCAGCCCGGTGGCCTCCTGTTTGCCACAAGCCGGCCACACCCTCGTGCTCCCGACCGCCAGACACTCTAATCAATATCCAAGCAGGGTCAGAGCAGGTGGTAGGACAGGGAAGCGGGTAAGTTACTTGGATGTGAAAGAACACAGTATTTCTTTTCTGGCTTGATGAAAAAGCCACGATAGGCTTCACAACTTACAAAACTTATTTCATGTTCTATTGTGTTGACCTATTCCTGGCAATTATAAAAATGTCACTTTCCTCTGGGAAGCTGGGGAGTATAACCCCGTCTCCTTCCCAATGAAGCACTTATGGAAATAACCCAGGACACGTGGCCACTTCAAACCAACTCTGCCTGGGCAATGCTTTGGAATATTTGGGTTGGAAAGTTGAATTTCTCCTGGGAAGAGAACCTTCCAAATGAGTCTGTTTGAAAAAAGTCAGAGAGAGTGCCAGGCCTCTCAAACCTCAGTCAAACAAGTACTGTGACTTATTGAGAGATGTTGAGCAAACAGACGTCCTTTAAGAATATATTTAGATCTATGGACACAGATAGAGATATACATACGTATCAGCACCTAGCAAACTGATGACACTGAATAGATGTTCAATAAATATGTGTTTAATAACTGTATATGTGTATATGTGTGTGGATGTGTACACAAACACACATGTACACACATAGTTATAGCAGGTTAATATGCATACTGGTTCACCAGAAAGAATTTGTCCACAGGCTGGTGAGGATGCTTGCAATTTTCCGGGGAGCAGAGATGCTAAAACTGATGAGCCTTTTACTTGTTTGGTTGATGAAATTTCTCCCAGCCACAGGATTTTTCTCTACTTTGCAGCTCACAGTGCAGTATTCATGCCAATTTTAAATTTTTGTTATTGAATTTCAGTGGTTCAAACATTTACTCATCTTAATAAAAAATTTGGTTGTCCATAGAAAATATAACTGCACACACAAGACTATAAACATTGTACGTTTAGATTTTCAGTATTTATCTACTTATTGCAAAAAGAGCCATCTTTTTTTTTCATTAAATAATCATCACATTAGTACAATACAATTTTATATTTTTTAAATATACTATATATGTTAAGGATAAGGGGTGAAGTTTTCTTCCTTTGTAATACCTGTTCAAGAGTTTAATGGATTAAGAGATTAGTTTTCACGTTGAGGAAAAAAAAAAGTATAAATTTGTCTCATTAGAATATTTCTACCAAGCATTTAAGGCTATATTTTAACATTTGGTTTCAAAAAGAAAGAAAAGTTTCATTTAAAAAATAATTTAGTGAATTACATTCTTTCATAACTTCCACCCTAATTAGTTACAAAGATAAGTCTAAAGATTCTTAGTTTTGTGTACTAATTTACATTTACATTTAAAGATTAATTTTACTTGTATCTTAAGACAAGAATTTTATGTTGGGAAAAAAAAAACAGAACTAAATACATTTGTATAAAGGTTGTAAATGCCCCATGGCAAATGCTCTGTCTCAAAATTTTTTTTTTTTCTACCACAATTAGAAACGGGTCTCTGCAAACAGAGGAGACCCGGGTTCTTAAGGGTCACCTTTTCCCGAGGAATTGTGGGCTGCGGATGTGAAGAACACATAGAAACCACTCAGATTTCTCTTTTTACAACTGTACCAGAACTTCACAGCTACAATGATAGTATGAACACATGAAAAAAATAATGACTTCACTCAAACAGGATTTAGAAAAAGTCAGGGTGACCTCAGGGCCAGGGCACCCCCCTCTGTGGCGAGGTTTACAGTCAGTCATTCAATAATGGAGAGAGTGTGTGTGTGTGCACATGGGTGTGTGTGTGTGTGTATATACAGATATCTATATATATAAATAACCATGTTCAGTCCTTTACAAGCCTGTAAATATGATGTTGTGCTCCATGTTCACTATTTGAAACTTCAAATACACAGGCCATGCAGAGGAGAGTTTCTTGTGTATCCCTGTTTGTTACCACCTGTTAAAAAAAAAAAAAAGTCCATATATATATACACACATACACAGACAGGCAGAGAATACCATGCGGGTGAAAACACAGTCCCTCTGTGCAAATCCTAGTTGCTTGGAGAAGGACAGGCTCAAGTCCAGCAGGGAGACTAGCACCGATGTCCCAGCCTCACGCTGCCCCCCTCCAGCACAAACTCAGGATAATTATGGGTCTGACCTGAATCCTAGCTGAACTTAGTTACCGCGTGTAAGAAATACCTCATGGACAGGGTCTCACCCATAATCCGAGGCCACGAGAATTAGTGTGGGTTCTTTGGGAGGGTCGATTTCTTTACAACGAAGACCATTTTCTAGAATTCTGTCTCACAAGACAGTCGTTTCTCCTAGGAATTGCTTCCTGTCTTATTCCTAAACTTTTTACTAGATTTGTTTCACAACAGCCCACGAGAGACAGAAGCCCCATGAATACTTAGCTCAGCATTGTTAACCAGCCGGGCTGGGGCTCAGTAACATGGATGCTGAGTAGGAGAATCATGTCAAATGATCCCTCTTTCCATTTACACAGGCTTTACCTTTCAAAATGCACTCTGAAACATTCATCTGCTTCCCCTCTTAGTTCAAGTCACCGGACTCCAGCTCTCTCCTCCTTGTGCCCGTGGCCTTAGCCTACGTTCTTATCTTGACCAACCAGATCTGACCCAGGTCTCCACTGGACCCTGCCTGCTTCCCAGAGCCATTCCCAGAAGGAAACTTTCTAAAACCAAATCTAGCCCACCTCCCCACACCTTCAGTGATGCTGTTATGTGTGTGTTTTGTTTGAAGACAGCTCAGTGTCTTCAAACACTGAGAATCTGAGGGCCTAGTCCTACACGTTGGCGGGGTGAGGCCTGCTCCCCACTCTGTCGGCTGTTTCACCCATTGTGTTTCCCTTACCCTCAAGGCATCGGAGGGTGTGGTCCCTGACTGAAGAATAAAAACTCACACACTTAAAAATTTTCCCATCAGGGCACACAGTACGTCTGTAACTACACTTAGATTTGTGTGATTTTTTTTTTTTTAATGCCCATGTCATTCAGTGGGCTGTAAGTTCCTGAAGAACGGGGACCATGTTTCCTAGTAACTAGCCTGGCACACAACAGTTGTTTAATAAGTATGTGCCGAATGAAGGACAAGCGACATTATAGCCAACATATAGTAACCGCATAGCCTGCATCTACTCAGTATGAACTGCTTCATATACGTCGTCTGGTATAATATTACAACAACTCCATGAGCAGGTGCCCTGTTAGCTCCCCTCTGACAGAGAGGGAGGCCGGGGAGTGGACTGAAGCTTATACAAGGAAGAAATGCAGATGTGACTTCAAAGACCTTTCTACCTACCCACGAAGCCATGCAGCTCTAGACCAATGAATGGATATAGTAATAGATTACCTACATTTTTTTCCCTGGGTCATAAAGATTTGATTGAATACTGGTACCCACCTGCTTTCCTTCCTAGTCTTAATTCCTGCCCCTTCCCTCACAGATCGAAGACTCCAAGCATGCCGGCCTTCCGTCCTGGAAATCTCTCTCCCTCTCTCCCCATATGCAAAGAAATGCCATGTCATGCTGCTTCTACCTCCAGAACAGTTCTTGAATCCATCCCCCCCTCCACTGCCACAGCGCAGGGTACCAGCGAAGCACCTGGACTCCCCCACCACGAGGCGCCCTGCCTCATCCCACTCGGGTCGGTACACAGCGGCCACAACAACCCTGTGAGCAACACAACTCTGACAACATCGCCCTCTTGCTTAAAAACCCTGATGGCCTGTATTCAACTCCCTAACTCTCAAGCCTGCAAGGCCCAGGAGCCCCGACCCCGTCTGGCTGTTCCTACCCAGCCAGCTCCCAGCTCCTTGCTCTCCTCTCTCTCTCTCTCTCTCTCTCTCTCTCTCTCTCTCGCTCTCTCTCTCCATGCCAGCCACACCACCCTATTTCCAGTCCTTCCACCTGCCCGCCCACCTGCGGTACTTTTCTCTGCCCTCCCCGCCCAGTCGTCTGGCAGGGATGCCTCCACTGTTTCTTCCTCAGAGAAGCCTTCTCTGACCTCCCTCCTTGGCTCAGATACTCCTGGCATATGCTCTCTTGGCACCATGTACCGCCCTCTGCCAGCCACCAGCCATCGTTTCTTTTTGTATTGCTTGAGGAACGCCTGCCTCCCTCAGGAGCCTCCAGGATGGCTGCCCCCCACCCCCATCTAGTTCACATCCCAGCACCTGACACTTAAGCACACACCCGTGGAAGGGTCCTTTTCTTGGTAAATCTGAAAAATGTCTGTCTATCTATCAAGGCAACTTAAACGTCAGCCTTGAACATGCCTGAGGATGCCCCCACCTCAATCCAACTTACAGGTACCTGCTCAGGTAGTTCAACTACTCTGGACGTCCAGGCGTCTGTTTCTCAAGGATACCACAGCCATGCATCGTACAAATGTATTATAACCATTTCTTCGCCTGCCTCTGTCCCCCGAGCAGGCCAAGATTTACTATGGGATGGGCACTGTGTTTTATCTGCATCGTTCTCTGGCAGCGAGTATAATCTCTCCACAGTTTAGCTGAATGAATGCAAATATTCTCAGTAACCTTTGAGGTGGAGCGTAAAGACCTGAGCGTTTTGTTTGTAAATGGAGGAGGAAGCTGAGTTTAGAGACTTTAAATGACTTACCCAAACCAAGGTCATCAAGAGAGGTGGGTCTTAAACCCCCCTCTTCTGATTCCGTGATCATGAAATATCCTGCAAAGTGTCTTTCCTATCCTTTTAAGTCTTCATTTATGTCTGTCACTAGCTCTGTGACCTCAGGGAGGCCTAATGTTCCTTATCCATAAAATGGGAATAAATATAACCTCATACTTCCGCAGTGAGAATTTCATAATATCACATTTACAAAAGATTTAGCACTGCGCCTGGAACCTCTATGATTTACCTTATTTTCTTGTAAACTTTCTAGGAAAGAATATGTCCTATTTATCTTTTTCCCTTTTAGGCTCTAGGCCCAACATGGGGCTTGAACTCACGACCCTGAGATCAAGAGTCGCCTGCTCTAGTGACTAAGCCAGCCAGGTGCCCTAAATATGTCCTAGACTTCATGAGTAAGATTCAAAGGGAGAAAAGGAAAAAAAAAATGTTTCTAGTAACCTGTATGTATGTCTGAATACAACCTCCAAAGATGATAGGAATACTTGGCCTATAATTCAGTGACTCCTCCTCGGTCTGTCTGGATATTGTCACTAAGGCCCCGCATTTACAGGTTCACCTCAATTTCTGTATCATCCTGATGAAATCAGAGTTTAGCTCACCGACCAGTAAGGTCTGGAATTGATCTTGCCGACACAGGCTTTGTAATCCAATCCCTAGTAAAACGCCTGCAACTACGTCCAGCAGCTGCCATTCTGACCGTGTTGCCACACCCTGCCCCTGAGGAAGAGCTGAAAAGTACTATTTCTCCTTTATCAATGAGATGATTTCATGCTCCTAATCCAGGAGTGCTGGTTTAATTTCAGCTTTTCTAAAAGCTAAAATATTATTTCTAGCCGATACTTACTGAGAGCCACTAATTCTTCATAGCAAAGGAATTTCTCTGGTTGCCTAATGATACACTTTGGAATTAATTTAATGCTCTCTGGACATCTAGGCTGCTTGAAGTCACATGTTCTGAAAGAGCACTACTGATTTCGTTTCATGGGTTTTGTGGCTAAAGAGATGCTTTCAATTTCTTCCAGGCCTCCTTTCCCGTGGCTCTGCTGTGTGAGGTAGGGTTAGGGACTGAGGGCATAGTCCTTAAGATGCTGAAACAGACTCAGAACTGGTTTGTAAGGACAGCTTGCCCTGGGCGCTGTGGATTCAAATGGTGACCGACCGACAGCCTGCTCAGCACCCCTACCCGGCCACCTTCCTGTCCCCTTCCCTTCCAGCCTCAGACTGCGTCTGCCACAAGAAGAGGCAAAAACAGTTACCAATAAAATTGTGAAGTTTTCCAAAACACTGTTCATCATATATTTCTCTGGTAAGTGTTTGAGCTTGTGGATGAAGTTTATCATATATTCACACATCGGGGAGCGGTTTATTCGGTACACAAATCGGCCGTTCTCGAACCTTGCGTACTCCGTCTGTGAGGGGAAAAAGGAATTGAGCACGTTTACACTTCTGATTCCAAAATACATGAAAAAGCTATTGCTGCCTGCAAAAGCATTTTTCCTTTTTCAACAGGAGTCGCCTACTAGATGCTGTACTATTTACATAGTTGACTTGATTTAAAAGAAATCCTATCTCCAAACTTAATGGCATACTCAGAAATCCATTCGTTTTCTGGAGACCTAAAAAAAAAATAAATAAAGAAAGAAAAGAGTGGAAACAGGATAGCTTTAAAGAAGGGTTGTCTAGGTCAGAAAGAAAAGAAAGCAAAGGTCAGAAAGAAATATAATCACCTACTTAGTGATTTTCTGCCTGGAAATCTGGGGGAGCAAGGCCCAGCCAATTACAATTCTTCAAAGAGCCCAGAGAAAATCCTCCTCCACCATTATAAAGGTCTCACAGGCCAACGACCAATGCAGCCAATTTCTCTACCTCAGGAAAAACGACTTCACACTGATCATGAGCTCCTGATTGTGAGTTATTTATGTCTTTAATAAACAAGGAAAAGAAAGAAAATACTCGTATTGAAGATCCCTCTGAAGCACTCAGAAATAAGAAACACACCCCTAGATAGCCCTGGATCAAAGAAGAATTAAAAAGAAATTACAAACTACCTCAAGAGTAATGAAAAGGAAAATACTTGACATCAAAACTTAGGGGACCTGATGGAGCTGTACTTGGAGGAAACTTAATGAAGCAGCTTCATGAGTTCATCATTAAAGGTAAAAAATTACAGAATTAAACCATGTCTGAAATTCAAAACAAACAAACAAACAAATAAACCCCTCCCTCCACAAAATAAACCCAAGTCACAAAGAAACCAAAGGAAACCAGGAATAAGAAATTAATAAAGATAAAAGCTCAAATTGATGTTAATTAACAGAAATAAAATATGTGGGCAGAATAAATTAAAAAACTGGTTCTTTAAAAAGTCAAAACAAAATCAAGCCTTCACAAGCTTAAGAGAGAAAAGAGACAAAACCACAATTACAGTAGAGATTGGAAGATCTGTAAAAGGTTACTTCACATAACTCTAAGGCAAAAAAGCCTAGAGGAGAGGATGATTTCCCAGCAAAGTATGAATTACTAATACTGATCACAAAGGAGAAAACTCTAGTAGGTCCATTACAGTAGAAATGAACAAAAAATTTTTCAGAGACTCACCACGAAAAAGGTACAAAGACCAAACTGTTTCACTGCTGAGTTGTATGCAACTCTCAAAGAATAATTACTCTCACTGTTACGCAAACGACGCCAGACCATAGGAAAAGGCAGGTGTCCCAATTCTTTTTATGAAATTGATGGACATAAGGAGATTAGAAAAAGGAACAGACTAATATCACTTAGGAGATGCAAAAATCTTATGTAGAACAGCGAAGAGAATACATCACTGTGTCCAAAGCAGGACTTTCTTCAGGAATGAACTCGTGGTGCCCACGAATTGGGAGAAAAATCATACTAAGAGATGCTGAAAAGGCATTTGATAAAATACCAGAGCTGTTACTAACAAAAACCCTAGGTACAATGGGAACAGAAAGAAATCACTTAAATATAAAACAAAGACCATTTATAAAATCCAACAGTAAATATATATAACCCGAAATGGCAAAACTCCAAAGCCAACTCTGGGCAGCAGTTACTACTCACTGTCCTACTTTTTTTCATGACAGTGTTGGAGGTTTTAGCAAATGGAAAGAGGTGAGAAAATAACCAAAATAGAAAAGGTGGCAAAAACATTGGAAAAGAAGAGATAAAAATAAAGCCTTCTCTTTTTGCTGGTACTATAACCATATACATAAAAAAATCTAAGAATCGAGGGGGGAAAAAACCACTGGAGATAAATAAGAGAATATGGCAAGTTGGCCAGATAAAACAAATATGAGCAAAAACCACGAGCTTTCCTCTCTTCTAGTAATTAGAATCTAGAAATGGGAAATTGCGTTAACAAATTATATAATATTTAGAAGTATATTTAACAAAAAAGGGATAAACCTGTATGTGAAAACTACAAAATCTTATTGAGATGGAAATGCAAACAGGTTTTCAATTGGAAAGATTTAGTATTGGTAATGTATCGATTTATCTTAAAATAATGTCTAAATCTAGTACAATTCCAACTAGATTGATCAAGCGAGGATTTTGGTTTTCTTTTACTTTTCTTTTTTTTTTAAGTGATCTCATTTTTTGGAAGAATAAATGCTGTTTACTAGCCTAGAAAATATATGGAAAACAACAGCCAGATTGACTTGCGTCAGCAGAAGTAAGAACGTGCTATAAAAGCCACTGTAATCAAATCAACATGGGATTGGGACATGTCAAGATAAACAAAGGGGAGAATCAGAGAGACTCCAGGAATGGCTCCCAGGATATGCAGTAACTTAAAGGAGACAGATCTCAGATCTACTCAGTGGGAAAAGGATGAATCGTTGAATAAATGGTTTTGACACAAACACCTGTGTATCTGGAAGAAAAGAGAAGCGGACTCCCAACTCACACCAAATGCAGAAGAAGTACATTCTAAGTAAATTAAAAGCTTAATTATAAAGCTCCACCTGCCACACTCACACTACCTTATCCATGAAAATTCCTGGGACTTCATCAATCGAAGGCAACCTTTTCCCGCTCCCTGAACTTACAGAAGGCTTTCGGTGTGTTACTGGAGGACATGACGAGAAAAAGAGCTTGGAATCTGGGAAACTGAGTAACCGGCCCGGTTTGTCTCATCCACGCAGGAGGTCCAGCTCTGGGGAGCCCTGACAATGTGGCTACTCAGCAGCCATGCCTACCAGGAACACTCCACATTCCCAACCACTGACAGGTAAGTGTGCTCCCTCCTTCTCCGAGGATTTGGGAGGTCATCTGGGCTACAGGCCTGCCAGGCCCATCTCATAACAAGGCCACCTTCTCATCTACCCTCTCCTTGGGCTTCCCAGACATGTGTTGAGCCGGCTCCCCTCCTCTCACATCCACTTTTGTTCTCTGCTGGTGTCTCCCTGTCACCCCAGGGCTGTGTACTGCTTCCCAAATTTAAACCCTTATTCTCGTGCTGTTGCTACTCTCTCTCTGCACCTAGTTCTCCATTCCCATAGCTTTAATGATCCTTAACGGTTAGGATTCCGGATCGGCAGTCTCGGTCTTTACCCGTCTTCCAAATTCTCGTCTTGCACCCAGAATCATCCCGTGTGCTCTTGAGCACCTTCCTTTCTTGTCTCTGTTGGTGGCACCACTGTCCTTGCAAACACAAAACGTGTGACCTCTGACTCTTCCTCCTCATGGGTTTTTAATATCCAGTGAGTTTCTAAGTTCCATTCAAAATGTCTTACTGGATGGCCCCTGCTACCATTTCAGTGAAGCTCAGGATGCCTAAGCTCCTGTTGACCATCTGGTCCACTCTCTTCTATCTTCTCTGGCTAGCGTCACCTCCTCAACACCATTCTCGGGAGGCCCATCCAGTGCTCAGGAAGCTACAGGGCCTGCAGCATTCCAGGGCCTCACTGTCCAGGCCCAAGTCTTAAAACCCACACGCTCGCTCCCGCACTCCTCCCTCCTCCCCAGCCCCTCCTCTCTCTCTCTCTCTCTCTCTCTCTCTCTCTCTCTCTCTCGCCGCAGCACCAAGTCTGCCGCACTCAGGCTAGGCTCTGGGACCTGCAAGCTCCAGGACCACTGTGAACCAGAGCTGCTCACTGAACACAGATCGACTAGAGGATGGGCAGAAGACACTGGAAAATTCAACTTTACAAGGAAGGTCAATTCCAAAACATTATTCACACCAAGCAACCCACCCTGGTAAAAAAAAAAAAACCAAAAAAAAAAAACCCAAAAAAAAAAAACCATGTGTTTTTTGACAGGGAGGGAGGTCATGAAATATAAAAACTATGTGTAGGTATTTGACCCCAGTATGTGCTGTCATCTGTTTAAAAGGATTAAAGGAGTGGAAATGGCAAAAGTACCACCACCATCTGAGGTGTCAGGTTTTATAGAAGGCAGGTGCCGATCAGCTGAATCCCACCTTGGCTGTTCTCTACAACGCCTGCAAGTGCCCTTGGACCTGGGGGTGGGGAGGGCACCATCCGGTGGGTGGCAGGGCCTGCGTGCACCCGCTTTCACAGCGGGCACCAGTCAGGGAGGCCTGGCATGGGGCTTCCTCCCTGCCTTCTTCCAGTCGCTTTCAGACCATTCTGTCATTTCAGAAGTAACAGGGGAAAGCCGTGGCAGAAAGGGAGAGGAGGAGATGCCAAAAAGGTAAAACTCTCCGCCCCCATGTAAAGTCGAAAGGAAGGCGACAGTCTGCCCCTGAATGAGGACTGTGGGGGACAGAGGCCTACTTACCTCTACTTTTTCTACTACTTGCTTCCCAAATGAGCACACTTTGGTGGAACAGGTGACTGTCATATTTTCAGAACTCTCATACTGACTGGTTACACCGTAAAAAGCCCCGGCATCGTCCTGAATACTGCAGTTTAGGTCGGCCTGTTGGGAAGGAAACGGAGGTGGGGGTTATCCTCTTGTGGCCGGAGTCATGGCAGCGACCGACCAGTGAGCGGCAGGCTAGGACGTCTGACTGCTCGGGCCGAGGGGAGGGCAGGTGTGGCTCGAGGAGGTGGTGAGGTGATGCTCATCCAGAAACAAGTTCCATGGCCCACTGGTCACTTTCTGAAGAGCACGCTAACTCCAGCAGTCTCCCCTTGAACAATGGCAATGTGACGCACACCTACTTCAGTTTGCTTTCTTGTGTTCAGTATAGAATAATACTGTACCCTTGTTAGAAAAGATCCATGAGGCCTCTGCAATGTGTGCAGAAAGCAGTATATGAATGGGGTTCATAGTCACTAATCTGTAGATATATTTAAAGATTATTTATTTGCGAGAGAGAGGAGAGTGGAGGGAGGGGGAGAGGGAGAGGGAGAGAATCTCAAGCAGACTCTGTGATGAACGCAGAGCCTGATATGGGGCTCTACCCCACGACCCTGAGATCACGGCCTGAGCCGAAATCAGGAGTCAGTCGCTTAACCAACTGAGCCACCCAGGCGCCCTAATCTGTAGATGTATTTAAAAGCACGGGAGGGCACCTGGGTGGCTCAGTTGGCTGAGCGACTGCCTTCGGCTCAGGTCATGATCCCGGAGTCCTGGGATCGAGTCCCGCATCGGGCTCCCAGCTCGGGGGGAGCCTGCTTCTCCCTCTGACCCTCTCCCCTCTCAAGCCGTTTCTCTCTTGCGCGCTCTCTAATAAATAAATAAATAAAATCTTAAAAAAAAAAAAAAAGAACGGGAGATCTAGAGCTGACTGTCCATTTATTATAGATGTAAAAACAGCAACTTTTCATTACAAATTACAGCATCCAGAAGGGAAATGGTTCCTAGTAAGACTGGCTTATAAAGATGCTAAATAATTCGTATTTCCCACTCATTTAAGGTATTTGATGATTACCTACTATGTGAGGTTCATGCTAGACACTATATAGGACTACAAACGGGAGCTATGTACATAAAATAGCAATAACGGAGATACAAATAGTACCACGTCAAAGGTGCTCGGAGTCCAGACAATGGAAGGCATGCTTTTAGCCAGAGGTATTACTTACGGAATGGTTACGATGTGCAGACATGGGCTGAGGGGACACTGGGGGCGGGCAGAAGGGGCCTCAGGTGCCTCCTTCCAGCAGCAGAGCAAGGACTGAGGCCACTGGGAAAAGTGAGTTTGGAAATGCAGCCAGGACCCAGGTTGTGGAGGGCTGAAAAGGGGGTGTGGATTGCATGCTGCAGGAAATGGGGACTCTCGGGAAGTTCTGGCACAAGGAGGCGATGTGATAGGAGCTGTGTTTCAGAGGTAGAGGTCTCAGTGTGGGATAGCGTCCACTGCAGAGGGAGGCTGGGAGGCCACGGCAGTGGCCGGACCCCTGACGGATGGCTCCCTCCTCTCCAACACCTACCAACCTGCTCTCGCACACCAGGCACTGGGTGTGGAGCCGGGGGTCAGAGTGAGCAAGACCTGGGCCAGTCCCTACTGCCATGGGCTCACAATTGAGTAGGAAGGACATCACCATAGGGATAAGCACTCCTCAAAGAGGCAGAGAGGGCCATGAGAACCAACCTTGGGGTCGGGGAAGCTTTCAAGGATGAGGCAGCTCAGATCCAAAGGAAGGAGCACTGACTGAGGCAGGTGGACGTGCCCTGAGTGTGTATAAAGGGCACATAAGCAGAATCGAGGCCAAGAAAAGGCTGGGATCAAGGGAGCAGGGGAGAGAGGGTGGCAGGAGAGGCAGGAGGGTTTGGGTCTTATATCCTAAAAACCAAGGCATAGATCTGCATTCCTAAGAGGCACCGTGACGCAGCCTGGAGATGACTCTGGAAGCGCTCACAGGCAGACAGGTCAGGAGGTCAAAAGAGCAGTACAGACAAGGGCCGGTGTCTGTACCGCCGTGGGGACTAGAGAGGGACGGGGGACCTGCCACATGATCGAGGCCACAGTTTGTGAGGTCTGGCACATTCTGACCAGTTCATCTTAAAACCTTGACGTGCACTAACCACTAGGAAGACCTGAGTCATCCTATATATATTTTTAATAAGGATCTGCATTTGAATTTCCTTCTTGAATTGAGTATCAAGAAAACGTCCCTTTTCTGAGGCAAAACTTCCCATTTTCCGGCTTCAAATAAAAAGAACCATAGGCTTTATATTCCTCCTTTGCCAAGAAATTCAAAGCTAAATTCAGTGCTCAACTATAGTAATTACCTATCCCGGGTATTTCTAACAGCTACTAACAACCAGTGTACAGCCCCTTTTACTGGATTACAATCTGCTTTTACTTGTCCTTGTCCACTTTTATATTGCCCATAAAGGTAGTAACACTCCCTCACAATTTTGCTTTTTGGAATTCTATGGGGCACAAATTGTAAATAAATAAAAATACCCAGGTGTACATTTTTCTCACATCTGAAGGTTTGATGTCGGCTCTCTGAAGAGCAGGGTAGCAAGAAATGATGATGTCTGAGCCTGACTGTGATCTGCACCTCATCTCCCTGGGGTCTACTGAGCTCCAGCTGCCAGAGAAGGCTACCCATGTGTCCTCCATGCACAGGAATTCTGGACTCTGACCCGGCATTGTATCCAGCTTTCCAGGGCAGCCACCACGGGGCGTGCACTCAAAGTGCGGGGCGTGCACTCAAAGTGGACCTTCAAGGGGCACCTGGGTGGCTCAGTCAGTTAAGCATCTGACTCTTGGTTTCGGCTCAGGTGGTGATCTCAGGGTCGTGGGACTGAGACCCGTGTTGGACTCCGTGCTCAGTGTTGAGCCTGCTTAAAATTCTTTCTCTCCTCTCCCTTTGTGCCCCGCTCCGTGTTCGCTCTCTCTCTCAAATAAATAAATCTTAAAAAAAAAAAAAAAAAAGTGGGCTTTCAAGAACCACTGCTTTGTTCTGCCACCAGCCGAGAACACATGGCTGAGAAGCAGCTCAGGTACTTTTTGGTGGTGAGATTTATGCTCTCATAATGGTGGTATATAGCTTGTTAGCTTGTGCCAACAAGTTTTTTTTTTTTTTTTAAACTAAAAACACACATGTGGTAAGTGAAAAAAAAAAATCAAACTGGAAAAAGAGTATACATTTTATTTCTACCCCCGAACTTGCTATCCTCCCTACTGGTGACCCATGTTTACTGTTTCTCAAGTGCCCTTTTGGAGATAGTTGGCACTTAGCTACACAAGCATCTACATCCCCTCTTTTTTGCACAAAAAGTGGCACTCTTCGAAACCTTGCTTTAAAATAGAGATATTATATAGACTATATTTAGATATATAGCTACATCCTAGAACTCATATAGTACTGATATGGAATATCAGTTTTGAAAAGAACAGCCATTTAAAAACCTAGGTAGTCCCACATTTTAGTGGCTGCATGCTATTCCATGACACAGATGCACCCTAATAATTACTATGTGTTCTACTGATGAACATTTCGGTGCTTCCCAACATGGATGCAATAATGAGTTTAGGTGCAGCAGGAAAGGTGCATTAGGGTCCTGGCATCGAGCCCCACATAGGGCTCCCTGCTCAGCGGGAAGCCTGCTTCTCCCTCTCCCATTCCCCCTGCTTGTGTTCCCTCTCTCGCTGTCTCTCTCTCTGTCAATTAAATAAATAAAATCTTTAAAAAAAAAAATACTTCTACTTTTCCTTTCTTTCAACTTTAAAAAGTTTCCAGCATTGAAAGGGTTTTAATGGGCTATAAATAAACGGAGAGTGAATATTTTAACAAACTCATTATTTTTGATACAACCAAGTTGTTTTGAAAGCCTGGTGAACATTTAAAAGCAGTCTGGTGTTTTTGGTGTGAGTGGGGTGGGAAGGAGCATGGGGGGCGGGGGGGAGTCAGGGGGAGAGGCAACAGAACAGGATACTTCTTTTAAACTACCGACCTCCACTTATGTCAGTGATATAACCAGGAGGGAGGTTTCTTCAGAACGGCCCCTCAGGTCCCTAGGCACAATGCTTTCTTGTTTGCCCTTTTTTCAAATGCTCCATTTTTTTCCTTTATTCAGTTTGGTGACATTAACAATGTAAACTAACTCGGACACTTAAACCCCGAAGCAAGCACAGAAGTGAACAGACAAGATCATCCGTCCCTATACACAATCGGAAAATGTTAACGAAGTTTAGAATGGTATTTGCCGTGATGGGATGTTAGCACAATTGCTGGAAATGTCCACAGCCTCCGTGCTCCCGTCTCTCTGAGTCTCTGTGCTTAAGTGATGCTGGTGAAAAGCCCCTGTCCCACTGCGGCGGCACACTGCGTAGACACCATTGGACCGGATTCATTTTTAAGACCCTGTTTTCTTTATTTGGCAAAATTATTTCAGGAATAACCAGCATTCTGTTTCACGGTTTTAAACGTTAAACACAAAAACTCCCAAAGTGGTAAGAGAATGACAGAACTGAAGTAACTTAAGTTCTGTTTTCCCATCTTCCTAATGACTGTGCTATCACGGCTCATTTCCCCATCTACTGTTCAACCGCGGGAAGCGGCGGGAGCTGCGGCTCACATGACTCTAGGGACAGACACAAGGCTGAGTCCCCATGTGCCATTAAAGAGTAAGTAACACAACGGCTAAGTAACAGAAGTGTGCTAATCTGAAGCATATACACGTGCATATATGAAATAAAAACGCTAACTTCACCAACTGTTTAGGACTTAGGTCAACAAGATTTTTTCTAAGAGTATTTTATCAATGGCATTGTTTAGAACTGTGGGCACATGGTGATAATAAAAATGAGAACAGATTTTTAGAGGGCTTTGCCATCTAAACTTCTCTAAGACATTGGCCTCCTTACTGCCTGCACCTGGGCAGACCAGCTCCACCACCTTACCTTTGGTTCACCACTGTCCCTTAGAATTTCCAAAATAATTTTCGTTAGTTTTAACTGGGAATGAATGATCTGTAGTTTTAATGACAGGAAGTATCAAAAATGAAGCTATTTA